TACAAATATAAACATAAATACTTCTATGTATATATATTTCTATATATATCAAATAAAAATATACACATATATACATACATATATACAAAATATATATGCATATATATACATATATATAAGTATATTTATATATATATACACACATACATATATATATAATACATATACACGTATATATTGTGTGTGTATATATATATATACATACATACAAAACAATATATATATATACATACAAATACAAATATTAACATAAATCCTCATATATATATATAAAATTAATACAAAATAAAAAAAAATATACAAATATATATATAGAAATATATATGTTTATATTTGTATTTGTACATAGATATGAATATATATATATGTGTATTTTTTTTTATTTTTTTGGATTTTTGTTTTTTTTAATATGTTTTTTTTAAAATTTTTTTGCAATTTTTTAGATTTTTTATTTTTTTTTATAAATCTGACATGACACTGACAGCAGAATTTTCCATATGACTGTCATGTCATATACCACGTGGCATGCCACATCATCGGTTAACGAATATTTAATACCGTTTTCGGATTGTGTAGGAAATTACAGTTAAATTAGGTAGTTCGCGTATCAATTTGGTATATTAGATAATTTGATATAGTTTTTTGTTAAATTAAAAATTCGTGTAGGAAAAGGTCACATCTTACAAAAGTTGATGTAGGAAAATGTCATTTTCCCCGATAACAATACGGAACCGTCTTCTACGAGGGCTCTTTTGTCTTTGTACTTCTTTGTCTTAGCGCGAAAGCCGAGGCACGAAAAAGTTTGAACACGCGCCATATCAGCGCGTGCGTGCACACAGAGTAGAAACACATGGTTACCGTACGGTGAAGATTGTAATTATGATTAAAGAACTAATTATTGATTAACGAAAATTAAGAAATTAATAAACTGTTGTTCAAGTAATTAATGACGTGGCAGACCTGTCGGCGGCTGCTGACCCACCATGTGTTCCCGATTTGGACAGCCTTTCAAAATATTATTTTTTTTTGGTGGTTTTTGCTCCATTTGTCCGATCATAAATAATTTCGTTTGATATTATCATATATTTTTATCCAAAACAAAATTAGCTCAGTTTGGTATCAATATTCTCTCTCTATAAATATTTTACATAATAAAATTTCTAATTTAATAAAATAATCATATAAATAACAATTACAATAAATTATGATTTTGTTTTTAAAATGTCTATTTTTGACGAAAATGGCATTTGTGTTTTACTACCAAATATCAAATATTGGAAGAAGCTATTTGGCATTATCCATGTTAATAAAATCAATTTAATATTTGCTTAAGCCATTTAATCTTTTCCTAGCTTTTTTTTCTGATTCGTTACAAATAAAATATAAAATATTTTGGAATAGACTAAAAAACAATCTCATAAAAAATCGCTAATTGTTTTTACTGAAAATACTTATATAACAAAAGTTATTTCAGATTTTCATATACTAATAAGATATCTTAGTAATATAATTCGAACCCAAAAGTAAATAGATTTGAGTGATCTTCAATTATGTTAAATTATTTTCAACTTTTTTAAACAAAAGTAATTAAATTTAAATTATAAATAATTAAACAACTTAATAGAAAATAGTTTTAATAAATTCGAATCCAGTGGATTCTATTATAAAATTTGAATAAATATATTTTCGAAATTAAAAAATGTAAACAAACATGATTGAACTCAAATCAAAATAAAATGAGAATGCTCAACCTATATAGGAAAAGAAGCAAAGATTTGGGGTCGAAAAATGCGATTTCCATTTTGTTGGTTTCTATTATAGTAGAGTTTTTTTTTTAATTATTATTTATAACCCAAAGCAAATGGTGTGTTTAGGTAATCATTCCATGCACCCCATAA